ATTACAAATCTGCTGAAATAACCATGAGACAGTGAAAATATAAGTACGTTAGAGTTCAGAGTAATTTTTAAAGTTATTGGAATTGAATAAATGGCTTGAAAATAATCGTCAGATGTAGACGTCTGCAGTTTGCTGGCATTGGTCTTATAATATGTGCAAATATCAAGATATTTTACGACAGAATGATCTGAGCATGAATTAAGAACCCAATTATTATTTTCTTAACTATTTTATGAAACGAAGTGAAATCACAATAAGGATGTCCGACGGATTTTGTCCCTCCCATTACCTTTTTTTTCCAGTAAAGATAAGGAAGATGGAGAACGTTATGGACACTAACATTCCTTTATGTAGGTTTTCCTTTAATAAAAAATCTCGACAGAGTAGTGGATGCCCAAAATGAGTAGTTTACCTAAATAGGCCATTTCAATAAATAGGCAACAAACTGATACATAAAAATGAGAAACTGTAGAAGTTGAAACTAGTACCAACCTGGCCAAGGCTTCCAACTCCTCCCAACCTGTAAGCCGATGCAGGGCTTTAGCAAGAAGAATCAATAATTCTTCAGGATCAGCATAACGACTCAGCTGAGTCAGAAATGCTTGCCCATCCCGTACAGATGTGAGATTGTAGAGGAGACTGTAGCCATTCCAGAGAACAGTAGCAGAGGCTTCTTCTGCAACCCCGTTATCAATTGAAGGTGTTGGCGGAAGTTGATCACTGAGTCGCATCATCAGTAAACGCAGCCGACCGAACCACTCAGAGCAAGTAGCCGCATTCGCCAAGAAAAACGCTCTAGCTGGAGCTAATGGTCGGGGCAATGAAACAGCATAGCCCTCCATCGCATTGTAAATCATCTTTTCGAGACAAGTGAGAAAAGGGACCATCAAAAGGAGTTGGCGCAATTGACCGGTCCATGTCTGTCGGCGCAATGCTTGATGTGAAGCGGAGTGAAATGGGTAGACGGGATTTTGCACAACCGAACTAGAGGTTGCGGCCAATGATACAGCTACATTAGGTTTGCCGAGTGAAGCTAAGACGGGTACAGGGGCTGCCGGTGGAGATTGAAGAAAAGCTCGGACCGCGCCCTCCAAGGAAAGAAGAGTTTTTAAAGGGTTGGCCCAAGGAGCGACTTTTAGTTTATAATCGATGATGGACCAGGTTGTATACCAAAGAACTAGAGCAGCTGGCGATGTTGCTTGGCCAAACCAATTGGCGGAGAAACAGGTGCTCGAAGCTAAATCAACGGGAAGAGGGGCCAGTAAAACAGCCAGGCGTCGGAGCCAGTCAGAAGAATCGAGTGAGAGAATGCTTAACCGACTGGTGGAAGTCGTGTTATAGGGTGCCCCACGAGTTATCATCCCAAGAACACTGGCCACCACAGGTAAGTTTGGGCAAGCGCTGGTAGAGATTAGAAGGCCTGCGGATAGTGCAGAGGACCTGCTGTTTGGCAAAGAGAGAGGTGTGCTGGTTTCTGGGCGTCTTTTTGAGAGCCAGGCTAGAAGGGTCCGAACCAGAGGTTTAATTCGAACATGCGTCTTGAAGTCAGCAGCATGAGAACTACAGGCTTGAAATTGATCAAAGGCGATAAGCAAGTTAGCACCTGCAGAAGATACACTTGTGCAAGGATGGGCAATGGCTACCTCAGTGAGATGAAAAAGGCGGGACAACAAGGACGGCCGGATTGGATGAGAAGCAAAAATAAAAGGGCCCTTAGTGATGCACAGCTCCACCGATAAATGAAATGAATCTTCTGGAGGAGCGGAACGTAGCGGGCTGTTCTGAGAAACCAGAAGATATTCCATAAAATCGACTACACTAGTAAATAAAGGAATCGCATATGAGCTCTTCCCAGACATCAGCATCTGGCCAGCAACAAGATCGGCCAATTTTATGGATAAAAGGGACTCAGTCGGACTTGTAAATTTGATTTTCAGGGCGGAACAGGAGATGTTAAGGTAGTCAGCGAGTGTAGATTCATTCAGCATTTCACGATTTTCAAGGCTCCAAGAGAGCAAAGAGGCTCGGACTCTAAGCGGGAGAAATGACCATTCCTCAGGATTTAGAGGGGAAATAAGTTTAAGCAGTTTAAGTTTAAATTGATTAATGATGGGGAGGCTTAACATTTTGCCTTTTCTAATCATAGATACAAACAATGAAAGACTATATAATAATAACAGTTCATAAGTACATTGATACTCTCTGTTGATGCCAGAAAGCAGGCCTAGTAAAGCAGTTCTCAAATCCTCGAGGGCGACGTCGCAAAAGGTCTTGCAATAAAGCATACTTTCGTCACTATATATTAAGCGGATAATATTGGAATAAAGGGAATTTAGTACACAAGAATATAATTTTAAATAAGTTGATCCAGATGAATTCGTTTGCCTGAAATATGGAAGAAGAGAACCAGGGCCGAGGAATGTAAAAATAGCTGGAACATCAATAGTCCCAAGGAAAATGCGAACATTTTCATTGCAGGAAACTTCTTCAAATAAACGCATTGTTGAAAGTAGAAGAGAGATAGACATACTTGAGACAGAACGCTTGAAACGAACAGATGAAAAGTGACTTTCCAATGGAAGTCCGAGATCCACTGTCAAACAATGAGGAAAGCGTAGCAAAAAAGTGAAAGCGTGATTGACACAAGATTGGATCGAGTCAACGATACTCTGTGGCACTTTGACA